CGTCAGTATACTTAGTATATTAGAACTACAGTTAAATGGCTGAAAGATAAATCATTTATGGCATATATTTTTATGTTCTCAAATGAGTGCTCATTTTAGGTTGTTAAATTAAGGGTATGCTTTTGTTCCTTACTGCATTACTACAGAGAATTTCTATATTTCTATATACCATTGGTATGTGTTTATAGGTTTCCAAATGTCAAAGCCTAATACAGGAAACTCCTACTAATGATGTGTGCCACTAATAATAGGATACAGTGTGGCTACTGATAATGTTTGCATGTCTTAGCACTTTATAAAAGATGTATAGTTATTTCACAGTTGTACTTTGTCATTCACATGAAATTGTATCACTTATGACTTTCCCTAGAAACTTGCAACACCAGAGTAAAAGGTAAATTTGAAGCCAGGCATGTATTTTCACACAGTATACACAGGTTTGTAGGAAAACTGAATGTTTTTGCAGTAAACAGTGTTTAAAAAACACATCTAATGTTATTGGTGGTTTAAAATAGCATATCTATATTGTCTTTGTTTTAAAATCCCTTCCCAGACCCACTCACATGCTGGGCCATTTCACCTCAGGAAATCCCATGAGGGTGAGGCTAGGTTTCACAGTGGGTTCACCCGAAGCCTTGGTTGATTATGACCCACACCCGTTTTCACACCTTGGCTCGTGTGATTAGGTGGAGGATCAATAGGGGATCCATGCCCCCCTTGGGGGACACTCCCATAGGGCTTAAAAAAATCTGGGTCTCCACCATCTGCTCTTAGAGCTGAAGAAGCTTCTTGAATGAGAGGTGAGGTGTCTTGAAGAAAATTAAAGAAGTCCGGATGCTTTTCTTTCAAAGCTCTTTAGATTGTTTGTGGGGGTTTTCACACCACTTTTGTTCAAATGCAGCATTTTGCGATGTTCTAGACTTCAAGTTTCTCAAGCGTATTAAATGAAAGTATTAAAACAATCCTTATATTATAATTGTAGCACAATTATTATTTTTTTGCACAGTGAACTCTGAGCCAATGTTTAAACATGAAAATCTAAAAAAATAATATTGGTAAACTATATAAACTATAAAAGATAAAAGCCTGAAATATTTACTGATCTGTCTTACCATCAGAATGAATCAGAATCTTTAATTTGGAACAAATACATTGAAAAATGTCTAAATACTGATTAGATAAAATTTGAAAAAAAAAAAAAAACACAAAACAACTTCACATTGCAAAAAAAGTTTCATGATTGGAGATGGAATGACGCAGATCTTGAAAATAAAAGAAAACATTCACATATTGAACTAAATTGTTCAGAGTACTATCAGGACTACTAATATTTTTGTTTTGTAGTTGTAGTTTGTAGTGTGACAGTTGAATGAAAAATTGCATTTTCTTCATTTTTGTGTCTAAGAATTTCATGTTAAAAAGTATTTTACTTGCTTTATTTTACAATATTGTGTAATTCAACAAGATATCATTCAGAAGTTGACTTTTGCAACTTCAAGTTTTTGATTTATGTATCCTCAAATATGGGACTTTCAGTAGTGCTGATATAACCAATATTTAGACATTTTTGATACATTTGTCCGAAATTACAGATTCACATTGATGGTAAGAAAACACAGTAAAGATTCAAGCTATTATCTTTAATGCTTTTTGAGATATTCATGGTCAAGCATTGCCTTAGATTTCAGTGTGTGAAAAATGGGTCATTTATTTATTTGTATACTGGCTACGGATACTGACTACAGAAAGAAGCAATCATCACCCACCTCCTTTACATGGATGACATCAAGCTGTATCCCAATAGTGAACGAGACATCAATTCACTGAGCCAGACCACCAGGATATATACAGCAACGACATTGACATTTGAATTGGAGAAGTGTAGTCAGATGATAACGAAGAGAGGGAAGATAGTCAGAACTGAGGGGATTGAACTACCAGAAGGCAACATTGCAGACATAGAGGATAACTACAAGTACCAGGGGATCCCACAGGCAAATGGGAAGCATGAAGAGGCCGCTAGGAAAGCTTCAACCACCAAGTACCTGCAGAGGGTGAGGCAAGTCCTGAGAAGTGAACGGTAAGAACAAGATCCAGGCTATCAACACCTACACCCTGCCTGTGATTAGGTACCCTGCTGGGATAATAACCTGGCCAAAGGAGGAAATAGAAGCCACTGACATCAACACAAGGAAGCTCCTGACCATGCATGGAGGGTTTCACCAAGTCCAGCACCCTGATGCTGTACGCTTAGCGGAAGGAAGGAAGCCGCGGACTGGTGAGTGTCAATACCACATTCCAGGGTGAGACAACGAACATCCACGAGTACATCAGGAAGAAGGCCACGACTGACCGCATGCTCAGTGAATACCTCAAGCAGCAGAAACCCAAATAAGAGGAACAAGAGGAGGAACTATCATGGAAGGACAAGCCCTGGACGGTATGTTCCACTGGCAGATAGAGGAAGTGGCTGACATCCACAAATCCTACCAGTGGCTGGACAAAGCTGGACTGAAAGATGTCTGAGGCACTAATCATGGCAGCACAGGAACAAGCTTTGAACACAAGATCCATTGATACTGGTGTCCATCACACCAGGCAAGACCCCAGGTGTAAAGACGCCACACAGTTCCTATGTGCTGACATGGTAAGGGAACAGTCTTGTAGTGTCGTCTTCTTGGGATGCTCAGTTTATGGCCTATCTCTGACATTCCCCATTATTTGAAACTTGGCCTTCAATTTGGATGGCTGCATTCAAATTGAAGGCCAAGTTTCAAACTACATGAGCTTTTTTTCTTGCTCATGTAGTTTCCTTAGCATCCAGCAAAAATCAGTAGTTCAGAACAGATGCTCGTGTAATCTTTCTTGCCTGCACTCATCAACAGTTTGCAAAACTTGCCATTGATTTGTGGCTTTGTCTTTGTTTTCAATGTCAGCCATCCAAAAAGAGGAAAAAATGTCTTAGAAAATACAATTGTATCTAAAAACATAAACCTGTCAAACCAAAACAGAACAACATTTCACCTGCTGTTGTACCTGCATGGTTCTGTTCTGCATAACTGAAATTGAGGGCATTTGCATTGTTATGTAGCAGAAGACGTAGCACCATACTTACAAATGAATGTAGAAAGAAAAATAAGATTTAGATTATAGATACTTTTGGCAATGTGTTTGCATATTTAGAAGATTCAAATTGATTGTTCTCATGTAATGTCAACAATATGCTGTATCACACTGTATCTCAGGGAAAAAGCAATGTGAAAGCTGCTGTTCTCAATATATTTATGCTCAGTCTTCCTTCATTTATATGGTTCAATAGTCCAATGACAGTATATTTGATAGCTACTTAAGCTTTCTCTATTAAATTTAATTAAAATTAAGCATCTGGGCTCTGTCAGTTAATAAAAGGCCTACATATTTAGTGGGTTTGTATGCTTGGTGTACTGTTGTGAAGCCATATTTATTAGTTGGCTTTTGAATGCTGTTATAAGTGAACTGATTGATTTATAACATGGACGTGCATATCATGTAATTTTCCCTTTTCCGTTTGAAAGAATTTTAAAGTTTCAGAAAAAAGGTGTAAAAATCTAAAGAGCAATATGGTAAATATAAGCATATAAATGAGTGAGCTTGTTCTGTGTAGTTTATCTGGTTCTTTTCTCTCATGAATACTATTAACAATAAATTTAGTCAATTTCTCTCCATAATGACATTAGCATGAGTAGCAATATGTTTGTTTTTTTCACAATTATGCTTTTATTAAATGGTGAATATAAATAACAGCAATGTGGTTAGTCTAAAATAAATGAATAAATAAATAAATAATCTCTTAACAAACTGACTTGCCCAAATGAGATGGAGCCCAATCTATATACTAATGTTTTAAAGGATTTTAAAAGAAAAAGGGGCAAACCCCAGAGTCAATAACTAAATTTAATACAAAGACACATATCACACAGAAAGCTCAAGATCTTAAATGTGAAAATAAGTTGGCAGCATTAAACCTTATTCTGTATCTGATTTATATGGTTGTGAAATATAATTAGTAATACTAGAGTTTTTCAATTGTGTGTTTGTGGACACGATCATCACAGTGTTCTTGGTCATTTTACTTACCGTATTTTCAATTTCCATTGTCTGTTGTCAGCTAGGTTTCAGATGATTCTTGAGTCTGGGCTTTCTTTTTGAGATGCAGTAAAGCCTTTCAAAGACCCTCAGAACAACCTTTAACCACTGTTTTTTACTTTTGTTTGTTACCATAGTTCTTGGAGGTTACTGACTTAAGCCCTGGTATTGGATTCCTATAAGTTCTTGAAAAGGTGACAGCAGATAAATTGCAGCATTAAGGCTTACTAATATAATCCTCAAAACTGGAAAGTCAACTTTAGAATGGCAGCAGGGTGCTTCTGTGCTGTCTTATAGGATCTGATACAGAGGGTTGTAGTGCCACTGGTGGAGCCGCCTTGGCATTGTCTGATCTTACATCTATGCTATCTGATATGTATCTGAACATATAAGAAAAGAAATACATTTTTATTTGTTCATCAAAACAAAGCAAGATAAACCTCATTCTAAAATTAGGGTACCAATGAGTGACAGTTATTTTATTTCAGGTTTAGGCTGAGCATGAATATGAGCAGATTTAGCATTTATATTAATTTCAGTATTTGAAACTGAGCTGTGTCACCCTGCATTCAGAATTTATGTATGGCTCAGGGTTTACCTAAGCCTCTAGTTCTTATTGACTCTAAACTTGGAATGATGGCTGAGCCTTTCAAAATATGCTTAAAAATGTAATATAAGAAACACTGGACATAAGTTATTATTCAGAAAGTTTCATGAATGTGAACAACACACATGAATTCCAATACTTGTCTGCTATGCTGAGGCTTGACCCAGGGCCACAATAGTCTATAGTAACAAAAATCTGTCCGGTACATTTTTATTATTATTTTCAGGTCAAAGTGACTTGCAGGTCACATTAAAAATTCATGTCACGATGCTGTTTGAAATGTTTATTTACATCAAACTCACACAAATTTCATATTGATGTCATTTTATGACAGCAGTGTCATTGTAATGTAAATATCCTGTCAGTTCATATATTTTCTCATATTAGTTTTATTCTGGGGTCTTCTACAAACACCTACTATACAAGCCAAAGATCCTTGCATCTAAAAATCTGTTAAGACACAAGTAAGTTGTTTCATCACCTTCAGACGAATAGCAACTAATCTAATAACAATCAGTGCTGTGCAGAGATAAAAACTGTATATAGTTTTCACAGTTATATTTCAGTATTTTATTTCATTACTGCTATACCCTTGAAATCAAAATAGACACATGTTGGTAACTTTTATTTAAGCAATTTTTGCAGGCCTAAGGCTTTATTGTTACTTTAACTTTAGATGATGTTTGTTTTGAATTTGTGAATCAAATAAGGAAGGCATCACTAGCATAATTTAAAAAACAACAAAGGTTTCATTCATGACAGTTCTCACTTAACTGCAAACAATGTGGCATTATCATGAGCTTGATTTATGCTGGCATTATAAAGGAAGTCTGCCATCTTCGGTGTGTCCAATTATTCTGTGAAGAAAAGGTAAAGCAAAAATAAACACATTCTGGAAAGAAACTGTTTGAAACTGGTGAGAGGAGCCTGAAGTGAGCATTTTGCCCACAGGAATTATTTTTCCTTTATTATTTAAACCATGAAGAGATGATTTACATCATACTAGTATATACATCTGATATACTGATATAGATATATCTATATCTATATCAGTATATTACACTCATTATGACAGCAAATGAGGAAAGGCATAAAATGTCTCTTTGAAAGGCTTACCTCTGACTGTGAGTTTAGTTGCAGACTCTGCCCTTCCCAAAGAGTTTTCTGCAACAACCTTGTACTCCCCGGTGTCTTTCGAGCCAACCCTCAATATGAGCAGAGAGCATACTCCACAGGTGTTGGAGATTAGGTAGTTAGTGTTTGTATTCAGACTGACACTGTCGCGGAGCCATGTGACATGAGGTGTTGGATCCCCTTTTATAGCACAAGTCATATAGCATTCATACCCTTCAGGAGCTGTGTGGGTTTTCAGTGGGACAATGAACTTGGGAGGACACAGCAGATTGCACGTCTTTGATTCTGGCATTTTCACAGTGAACTTTTCTGGAAGAAAGGAAACATGCAGTGCATTCTAATTGTATTCATCTAACATTAGAAAATGTGTCAATACTGTCTTGATGATGGCGCTACAACAGAATAGGGCTGGGCCATATTATACCATTCACGGTAATACCGGTATAATGTTAGGCAACGATAGGAAAATGAAATATCGCGATAGAATATGAGTACAACGCGCATGCGCAGTGCCTTTGTTTTCATACGCACATGGCCGATTGTTGAGTGAAACAGATGAACCAGAATTGGTTTGTAAAAATGGTGCAATTTCAGTGATGTGGAACTGGTTTGGTGTTTGTCCGTCAGATACACGACAAAGCACATTTTTTTGCAGAACATGCAAGCGGCCGTCGTTACTGTCGGACTAAGATGCTCTTAAATCTGTGAGTAATCTGGGTCCTAAACTCCGTATGCTTCAGGTCAAACGAACACTGCAGCATCACTGAGAGTTTAAAAACTGTCTAAATTCTTTCATCTTTAATAAAAATGATCAGCATTGCTGCTTTACCAGGTGTAACTATAAAGTTTAACTTCCAGGCATCCATGAAAACAAAATTTATTACATTTAACGGAGTTAGATTTTAGCAGGAAGCTAGCAGAAGTTAGCTCGCTAGTTTCGCTAGTTACCTAAGCATGATATTGCATGTTCTGACTGAGAGATTTCTGAAAAAATTCAAACGTACAGCTCTGCTATCACTTCCAACATAAATGACGACAGGAAACTAAACAGCAGTGACGTTTGTAGGGTTACTGAAGTTGGGCTAACTGGTATATAATGATGTGCTACGTGATCGCTAGCGACACAGCTATGTTAGCATAACATAAACAGTGAAGCTGGAGGACGAACACTAACACTTTTCCATTTATAAAAGTTAACGTGAAGGTTCCTGATAGTTAGAGACAAATGCAATCGCATGGCAGGTTGCTGTAAACGGACCAAACTTCAGTCAGGAGAACAACTGAGATAATCCATCCACAATACAAGGTTAGTCATTAATATACTGCAACAACATGGGAATAGAGCAGCTGCCAGAGAATTCAACATTAATGAATCACTGGTACAGCAGTGGAGGAAGCAAGAAGAATGAGTTTAATAAAGTTTGATTTATCTGACTGCTTTGTTTTGCTTAATGCACCTTATAATCCGGTCCACCTTATGGTCCGGAAAATACGTACTGCACACTGCAGTTTAATGTTGCAAAGCACCTCTTTTTAACTAGAGCGGATATTATACATGGTTATGCTCAGGATATGTCAGCCCATTTCTACTGGAGATGCCTTTTGGTTAAACTTTCAGCAAGGAATTTGCATTTGCACTGTTACATTTTTATAAAGCTTTAATGTACATAAAAACCAGCTTTTTGTTTAAGTGAAAATAAACTAACATGTCTTCCAAAAGGACAGGCATAACCATGTGCATACCTTTTTTGGCAGGAATCAGCCACTTGGGGGATTCAGAGGGTTTGGAGGAGCCCATGTCATTCTTTGCATAGACTCTGAACTGGTATTCTCGTCCTGGCATTATGTTACATGCTGTGAATCTGTTGTTGAAGATTCGATCTGCAATGGTGTTCCATGTTCTTTTGCTTGAATCACGCTTGGTCACCATGTAGTGCAGCCTGTCATCACGTTTCTCATCTGGAGATGCTGTCCATGAAATAGTCACAGTACCATGCACATTTTCATCTAACTCCACAGGACCTGGAGGCTTGGGCTCATCTGGAGTTATAAAGAAAGTTTAGTTTTTTCTTTTGTCCACAGCATATGAAATGGAAGTTTTACAATTAATACAAGATTATACCAAACACACCTGTGACTCTAATTTCAATGCTGATTGTTTCTTGCCCAACAATGTTCTTGACAATGATTGTATAGACTCCAGTATCTGAGCGCTCAGCAGAAGGAATGAGAATCTGGGATGTACCCTCTGCATTACTGATGGTCACTTTTTTAGACACTGGCACGCCATCTTTTAGCCAGATTACATCTGGCCAAGGAGAGGCCTAGAAAGAATACAAAGATGTAATTTTCTTAGTTTGTAAGAAGATAAAATAAGATCCCTATATGTCTGTTGTCACAAATATAGTAATCAAGTTATTACCTCAAAGTTAATGTTGAATCGTGCTGAATTTCCTGCTCTCACCACCATAAAACTCTTAATTTTGGCATCAGTGAATCGGGGCCTCACTATGTAAACAGCAGGATGAAAGTTTGTCAGAACAAAATTTAATATTGGGTAAAAGTTACAGGAAGACAAATCTCGCAAGTAGGCTTTGGTGGTAATAATTTGGCACAGAAGATGATATTTATACATGGAGCAATTCAAATGTACCATGAGCAGTGGAGACACTGGGTGCATTGATGCTCAAGGAAACTACCTTAGATTTTAATCTGGTATGTATTGCCAAATATTGTGGTTGTTAGATTTCTATACTGCATACTTCAGAAATATTAGATTTCTGAAGTATGCAAAATTCTGGTAATTTCAAGTAATTGAAACTATATACTTAACTTGAGTCAAGCATTGCTTAGTGGAAACAAAACAAAGAATAATTACTGAATTTATCATTATTATGTTGCTTTGTAATCATGACATTAAATATAACATTTGGAAATTTTCTCACCAGGAGGAGGCATAGAGATATGGTAGTTATCCAGTTCCTGTGGCTCTCCATGGCCTCCTTCATTGATAGCAATGACTCTTACCCAGTACATAGCCATTGACTTCATGCCTTTTACTGTATAAGACGTCATGGTTATTGCATTCAAATTACAGCGATCCCACTCTGTGTTTTCTGCAAGCCTGATCTCCACAAAATATCCCTTTGCTTCATCTTCAACCCCCTCAATGTCCTTGGGTTTTGTCCAAGACAAGGAGATGGTTGTGTAAGTGGAATCTGTCACTTTGAAGTCACTGACTTTACCAGGAGGTTCTGTAAAATATGATTCAAAGACAAACATTATTTTTACACAAAGCTAAATATAGTCTAAAAATGCCAACCGTATCAGTTTCCACCTACTTTTAGGGTCTCTGGCAAACACGAATTCTGAAGGGGAGCTGAATTCACCGGCTCCAGAGTTATTGATCGCAGACACACGGAATTCATACTCCATGCCCTCAACTACATCTTTCACAGCAAATTGCTTCCCTGTAAGGGAAAAATTTGAATTGCAGCAATAAATCATTAGGACATCACTGTTGTGCTGTCAAGTTATTCTAACATAAACAAACAGAAACTGGCTGTGAATAAGAAACCTCTAATCATCTCATTGGGTGGATTGACAGGGCCCCATAAGTTGCTGCCCTTCTTGCGTTTTTCAAGGTTGTATCCCAGAATACTGGTTCCTCCAGTATCAGCAGGGGGAGACCAGGAGAGAGTGATACAGTCTTTGAAGGCACTGACAACCTTGGGTGCTGATGGAGGTCCAGGGTATGCTGTATACAGAAAAGAGTGGGACTAGTATGTTTTTCATTTATATTTTTTTGTCTAAAGATTCATTAAAAAAAAGGTTGTCTACTTTTGAGGAACTCTGAGAATGACACAAAAGCTGAACAATAACTTTATTTCATTAGAAACCATAGTGGTCAGTTGGAATTAAAAGATATTCTTTGCATTCTCTTCAGTTATTTAGCTACCTTAAATTAGAAGTCTTGCCACATGAGAAATTAGCACAGCAAAATGTTTCCATTCATTCTCTTGAAATGTACACAGCTAGATTTGTTACATTGTTAATGAAAGCTTCTGCCTGACTTTTAGTTGTCAGTTTTTTTTCCCTAATTCAACAAAGATTTGAATAGAAAAAAAATGTATATGGGAAAATGAAAATAAGGTTGTTCAATTTATTGTCATAGAAGTAAGTTTGCATAGTTTATTTAAAATAAAATAAACAGTGAGTGTCCTATCTCGCAGCTGTCTGCAGACCATTCCCATTTTCAATTTGTGAAAATTGAGGAAAGTCAATTTTATGGTGAAGCACTGGAGGAAAAACACAAAAAACAAGTAGCTGAGTTTTTCAATAAAAGGTTTTCTTTTTTTACCTGTAAGATTTGCCTTTTGAATGTTGATGACCAGATCGTTAATACAGTGGTATTTTGAGAAGATGGCATTTAAATAATTGTTATCTTAGTTCACCTTTTGTACCAGCTTGAATGTCCTCTGTTTCCATCAGTTCACTGATGCCCATTTCAGTCTCCACTCTGAGGCGATAGCAATACCTTCGGCCATGGTCTACATCCGTGTCCCTGTACTTGGCCTCAGGACCAATTGGCCCCAACTTCTTCCAGGTGTTACGGCCAACTTGTTGTCGTTCAAGGATATAGTTTAATATCTTGCAGCCACCACTGTCTTTTGGGGGTCTCCACTTGAATTCAACTGCAGAGGAGGAGGCTTCAACAATCTCTAGAGGTCCCATTGGAGGAGTAGGTTTATCTGTTTGAAGAGAAAGTACAATACAGAATATTCATCTGTGCAGAACCAAGATTTTTAAGTGTATTAAATCCAGTGTCTTATGCAAAAGTGCTATACACACACACCCAGTACAAGAAGTTGGCTGAGAGCCTCCATAGTGCCAAACTCATTTTTGAGTTTAATCTTGATTTCACCACTATCTTTACGCTGAAGCTTCAATAGCAGTAGACGGCTAGACCCCTCTGAATGCTCTATCTTGATGTTTGCCTCCTCCGAAAGCTCTTCACCCTCACGGTACCACTGAATTTTTATAGGTTCCCGTCCAATAAAAGCCAAGTTGAACGTAGCTTTGTGTCCTTTTTTCACAGTGACAGGAGTTTTGAATGCTTCCAGATCTTCAGCATTAAATCGTGGTGGATCTAGAATGAGTCATAAAAAAACAAAAACATATTTCAAGCACTGTTATGCTTTGTAGTTACTGTATGTACAATAAATAAACATATTTTGCACTGCTCTTAAAAATTATTTTTCATCATGAACTAAACACTGCTTAATGAATGATGCAGACCTTGTGAGCAAGAAAATAGCTATTGCAATACTAATGTTTTTACCTTCAACAGCAATCTCAGCCTCTGTCTTACGCCCGTCTGCTTCAAATTTATATTTCCCTGCAAATTCTTCTGTGACTTTATGAATTTTCAGTCTGTGAAATGTTCCATCCTTTGAAATAGTTAACCCCTCAGATGACTTAATCTGGAATAATAACAAAATAAAAATGCAGACATAAGTGTACAAATTAGTTTTTGATTGCAAGTGAAAATTGTTTTCTTTAAAAAATAACTTTCACTGAACACAGGCAATTCCTCAACATGTTTGTACTGTCTGCTCATATTAAACCATGTTGTACTTTTTAAATAACCTATTTTAACATTTCGATGCATTCTCAATCATCCAGGAAAGTAAATCTCCAAAAAGTTGATTCTGTTCATCTGGACGTAGCGCTTTGTGGGAGAAACGTTTCGTCACTCATCCAAGTGACTTCTTCAGTCTCAGCTGACTGCAGGTTTCCCCAATCTTATAAACATTTGCATAATGACTGAAACCAGCCCACCGAAGGAACAATGGGCTGGGAGGTCAATTCCTTAATCTTAATTATGCAAATTCTCATGACCATTGATCAACAACCACTGACCAAAACCCACTGATCAATAACCACTGATCAATGGCCATGAGTACCATTCACAGAGAGTTGGGGAATGGCTGCAATCACAGCATTGTAAGATGGCGAAAGATGTACCCTTAGGCCCCCTCCTCAATTCAGAGATGGTCTTTCCCTTTTCACATAAATGGCCTCCTTGACTTCACGCTCAAACCAGCGTTCCTCCCTGTCTAGGATGTGTACATCCTCATCCTTGAAAGAGTGTCCACTGGCCTGTAGGTGTTAATAGACTGCAGAGTCCTGGCCTGACGATGTAGCTCTTCTGTGTTGTGCCATCCGCTTCGCCAGAGGTTGTTCGGTTTCCCCAATGTATAAATCCTGGCAATCCTCCTGGCACTTAACAGCATACACTATGTTACTCTGTTTGTGTCGGGGGACCTGATCCTTGGGGTGGACCAGTTTTTGGCGCAGCGTGTTTTGGGGTTTAAAAGCCACAGAGACCCGGTGTTTAGAAAAAATGCGTCTCAACTGCTCCACTCTTTCAAGGATGAGGATGTACACATCTTGGACAGGGAGGAACGCTGGTTTGAGCGTGGAGTCAAGGAGGCCATTTATGTGAAAAGGGAAAGACCATCTCTGAATTGAGGAGGGGGCCTAAGGGTACATCTTTCGCCATCTTACAATGCTGTGATTGCAGCCATTCCCCAACTCTCTGTGAATGGTACTCATGGCCATTGATCAGTGGTTGTTGATCAGTGGGTTTTGGTCAGTGGTTGTTGATCAATGGTCATGAGAATTTGCATAATTAAGATTAAGGAATTGACCTCCCAGCCCATTGTTCCTTCGGTGGGCTGGTTTCAGTCATTATGCAAATGTTTATAAGATTCGGGAAACCTGCATTCAGCTGAGACTGAAGAAGTCACTTGGATGAGTGACGAAACGTTTCTCCCACAAAATGCTACGTCCAGATGAACAGAATCAACTTTTTGGAGAGACTATTTTAACATTGCACTCAGCAACAAACAAATCCTAACAAAAAAGTAACTTCAAGGGTCAAATTGCATTATATTTCTTCATGTCAATATACAGTGTTGTGGGACTCGAGTTTGAGACCCCTGATATAGCGCTTTGTTCTATAATAATATCTGCCTGTCATCCATGGCCAAAATACAATGTCTTTAGATAGTGGGGTGAAGCCAGAGTACGCAGAGGAAACCCATGCAGATAAAGTCTAAATGCAACATGAACAGATTTAAGACCATGAGTTTACCTCTTCCCCATCTTTGTACCAGACTCCCACACAGTCTTCACTGCTCACTTTACACTCCAGCTCTGCCGCTTCTCCAATAATGGCTTTGCAGTCAGAAAGCCCAGCATGAAAGTGAACTCCTGGGTCTGAAGATTTATCAAACATTAAGTTAGTAATTGCAAATACAGTTTCTTTTATTTCATTTTTGTAATTGTACATTTAGAATTTTAGTGATTTGAAGATTTCCATTCATGCATGCAGGAATGCAATTGTGGACATACTTACCTATTTTATTTTTTACTTATAAAAAATAAGTTTTTATGACAGAAATTTCAGATTTGTAGTAGCTGTTTAATCCAAGTTGGTAAATGATGCAATAAGAGTGGGTTTTTGGGGAAAAAAATTACTTGATGAAGATCTTTTTATTTTTATTTTTTTAATTTGTAGCTTGTCTCATATGGCATTGGTCTTCGTCAGCTCAAGCCAACTCTTGGCACAGCTCAGGAATGTCTTCACAGAGTCGTCCATTTGTATCTGTTCACTTAATTAGTCTTGGAAAAAAGAAAGATTTAGTATTAAGATGTCCCACTTGGGATTGACCTTCTTGGTCAGTGAAGGAGTATGTCGTTTTTGCTGGCATAAATTCAGCATCAAGTGAAATATGGAAAAAAAACCACACACCCATGAATCTGGTTTAGGGCATAGTCATCCTCCAAGGTCAGTCCAAGTTGTCTTCCATCTTCCAGTTACGTAAGAGTGCAACTACACAAAGTATTTAAGTGACCAGTTAAAAAATAAATTACTCCAAAGCACTGATTCATCCTGAATTAACTTTTAAAATGAAAAGCAAGATTGTTAACACAGAAAGCACACAAAGCACAGATGCATAAAAATCACATACGCACACCACACCCAACCTTCAAATACATACAAAGACACATGTAGACGCAAATAAACAAATTGTTGGCAGCTAATCCACCTGTAGGTCAAAAAAATAAAATTAAAATTATATAAGTAATGGTGTTCTGTTACCTAAAAAATATGTGAAGTAGTTTTAACAATTCTGGGACAATTAAGCTAAAAATGCATTAGTGTATCAAATTTAATTGATGTTTCCTAAATAAATGCATGCTCAAAGTTAAATCCACTTGTCCTGACCTGTAATCATTGTAGGAGGTAATTTATCCAATTAGACATTAAATCTGCTCTTCTTCTTAATGATCACACACTTCTATTAAGTCCCAAGCCACTGGAAATGTCATCAGCTCATCACATGACTTCACAGAGTCGTCCAGAAGTGAGATTGCTTCCCATGCAGCAGTTAATATAGCACCTGTAATCTTACCACAAAGTGTCTCGTCAAACAGTCAGCCTTGCTGTGCACTGCCTGAACGTTTGCCAGCTGCTGCTGGCTCATCATCATCTGCACCCTCACCATTTTCAGGAGATTCATCACTGCCTGCTGATGGTCCAGTGCCATTATCACCATTGGTATCTCTTGCTTCTCAGTTTTTTGCTTTTCAAGTTTAAGGAACATCACCATAAATACCATCAATCCAGTATTTCTCATTTGCTGTTGGTTAAGCCTTACAAATAACATTGATAAAGTCAGTAATAATAACAAATATTTACATAGATAATAAAAACAAACAGCAATCGGCACAACAGAGTGGTGGAAAAGGTGATCTCTAACTTGGATAGTATTTCTTGGTATATGTGAAAAATAAATAGATGAAATAACCAAAAGCAGTAATACATGTGATAAAAGTGCTGATCCTTTTTAAATTTTCTAGTGCTTCAAAAAGTGGACAGTTCATGATTAGATATGTGAAGTTGTTTGGGTTTTAATAATCTTTCCTATTTGCCTACTAAATAGAAGACCTCAAATGATTCAAACATGACATTTATACAGCATAAAAACAAACATGAAAGCACAATACACATAAAACACAAATACAGATCACTTTCCATATATGTGAAAGCTTTAAAAGAGAGTTTAAAATGTAAAAAACATATATGCTAGTTTTCAAGACGAGACACAAAAACAAAGAAAAGCAGGCATAATATACAACAGTTTTTTTCTAATTTATTAACTAGAGGTTTTCATTGTTTCTGGACTGAAAATCATGTGATCTGTAAATACATGGTTGCACTACAGATGACTCATTAAATGACATTATATTTGAATGTTGGATTGTCAAGAAGCAGTAAACTTAACCCTTTAGCTTGTTTAACATCCCAGTGTTCTCTTACTTACTGAGTTCTGGAATTTGTTATTATTATTTTTTTTTTTAATCCACTTCGTGGGGCTTAATTTTGCAGTTGACATAGCAGAGTACTGAAAAACTTTGTAAGATATCAGCTACTTCTTACGCACCTGAATCTAAACTGAAGTATTTAGAATTCCCTACAGGTATAATGATAGCGATTTTCATTCCCAATGACTTATTTGTCAATAAACTACAGCATGCAACCTTTACATTGCTTACCAATAAAAGGTTCTTCAAATGCCACATTTACCTTTTTTCAGCGTTTTTCTTTTTCACAGGAAACCACAAGTCTCCTTGTTAATTTGTGGTTTCCTCATCATTTATATTTCTAATTATTTTATAGCACTTTTATACAGAATAGACTGCTAGTAATATTAACAGCGTAAATGAAAAGTTGTGTAATACAATACAAATTAAATAAATTGAAAGAGAATAAAAATGGTCAACTCTTTTTTTATTATATAATTCTGTGTGTAGTGCAGTACAGTATTAACAACTTACCTATTACTGTATCTGGAACCAGAGGACCAGCTCTCACACGTTTTCTGCGTTTTCCTCCTTTACCTCCCCCCTCTCCTCCTACACCCCCTTCTCCTCCCTCTCCTCCTTCTCCTTCCTCTCCTCCTCCTTCTACACATCCTTCTTCTCCCCACTCCCCTTCAAATTCTTCATCAGAATCTTCAAATGAATCATATTCATCTTCTCCTTCACCGCCACCGACTCCTACTCCGGCTGCGCTTTGAGCTCCACCTTTTCCAATGGCTGCAGCTCCATGTCCACCTTCTTGTCCACCAGCACTGGCACCACCATCAACTCCATTGCCTGCACCCCCTGCACTTCCTGCACCAATACCACTGGTACCACCAGCACCTGCAACTGCAGCAGCACCACCAGGACCACCTGTCCCGCCAGCACCAGCTGCACCCCCGGCACCAACAGCACCACCAGCACCCCCGGCACCAACAGTTCCATCAGCACCACCAGCACCGGCAGCCCCACCAACACCAGCAGCACCCCCGGCACCAACAGTTCCATCAGCACCGGCAGCCCCACCAACACCAGCAGCACCCTCGGCACCAACAGTTCCATCAGCAGAGGCCGTGCCACTTCCAGCACCGGCTCCTTTTTTCGCACTTTTCCTTGGAGCTCCGTCTTTACCAGCTGCTGCCCTTTTAGCTCTTGCCGCAGCCTTAGCTTTAGCTTTGGCTTCAGCAGCTGCCTTTTTAGCTGCTTCTTCATCCTCTTGGGCTGCTGCTCCAGCGGCTTCTTTCTCGGCTTGGGCTTTCTTTGCAAGTTCCAGTTTTTCTTCCAATTCTTTCTGATATTTTTCTTGCTGCTCCTTTGCTATTTTCAACAGCTCCTCTTCGTTGCTACCTCCAGCCATGGTGGTTTTCCGAGCCACCTTTTTGCCCTTATTTGCAGGATCTTTGTCAGCTATGAAAAACATTATCAGATATATTTGTAACTTGCAGCTGGTTTTGGAAAAATTTTGGAATATTCAATTTTTTAATGTGAATTTTGTGATTTTTTAAAATTATATATATCTATATATCTATATATCTATATATATATACATGTGTGTGTGTGTATGTGTGTGTGTGTTTGTACATAATTCTCACCTTCAACTATAAGCCAAGCGTTGCAAGATTTTATTCCTGCCACAGCAGCATAGATACCGGCATCCAAAGGCATGCAGTCCCGCACAATCAATTTGTGGATGAGCTTATCCTCAGATATAGTAATTTCATGTTTTTCACTATTTGACAGCAGAGCACTTTTTCCATACCATTTGATCTCGTTCATGGGTGCAGTTAGGACACATTGAAAGAGGGCGTCCTCTCGTTCTTCTGCCTTGACTTCTTGTATTTTGACAGCAAATTCGACTGGAGTTACTGAAAGGTTTTAAAAAGACACAAAAGAATCAGAGAAAAATGCAATCCATTATCTAAACTGCTTACCCTGTTCAAGAACTCTTTCATCAGAGCTCCCCGAACTTAATGAGTTACATTAATTTAAGCTATAAGTACATTTCAATAAAATGGAAAAACACGATTTATGGTTAACAATTGTATAATAAACAATAAAAGAAGCTGAAGAGACCTAAACCTTATCTAATCTTAATACCTGGATTAAAGACAGACCTTTAAAATCAGTGGAGAACACATTGACACCCTCAACATCCACTGAGTAGAGTCCAGCATCTTCTACTCCTAGTTTTTTGATTTTGAATATATATTTTTTGCCAACTTGTTTCAAACTATGTTTCTGCTCATCAGCCTCATCTTTGGAAAATGGAACCATGACACCATCCTGCAGAATTTAAAGATGTATTAACATTTTGATAATACGTTTAAAAAGAAAGAAGCAAGACAAAACGTAATGAGCAGTTAATTTCTTACCTTGTACAGGTACAGTTTACTGCTAGGATCCTTGAGGTCCATATCCAACTCAATTGTTGCATAATCATCATCTGTGACCTCAATAGGCTTTAAACTGCTGATATGTGTGACAAACTATGGCAGAGATATATCAAAAATTATAAAAAATGGTCAAGCGACAGTATACAATACAGCAAATTTAAAGAAAACATTATAGGCCTCTCTGAATAAAAGCAGTTTTGTTGGAGAGGCTTTTGATTAAATAAAAGAATGCCAGAGTTCTGTACCTCTGCGACCTCCTCTTCTCGTTCTTTTTTCATTTCATTAAGTTTCTTTAGCATGCCACGGAAGTTTGTGATACCATAGTCAGCACAGATACGCTCATAGTCTTTCTTGTCTGCACTGAGCAGAATTTCCCAGACCTTCTCCTCTGTCTCCATTGGCTTCTGCTCACGTGTTCCATCTGGATTACTGTATTGACAAGCAGCATTAAGTTAGAATTCACAGCTGTAAATAATACAAAAAGTAAGAATAGTTCACAAGCTATAAAAAAGCTCACCGTTTTTTTAGTGTCTTTCTGAAGTCAACTGTATCTGCGGAACCATAAAAAAACAAACGTAAAACACAAATTTGTCAGTCAATATAGAAATATCATAAATGTGGGAGGCTCTGACCAAAGGAGGCTCTAGAAACTAAACCACAGCATAGCTTCATAATGGCAAGCGTCTGGGGGCTGAGGTTAATATTTTCAGACAAAGAGTCACTGATGTCTTAAGTGGCAGTGCATAGTGAAACTGTGCTGATGTGACAGACAGATTTTTCCAAATAATTCAAATCACTAAGTAAAATGTCAGCTTGCAATTAAAATTAATGGGCAAATTGTGTAGGAGAAAAAGTGAACCACTCTATCATACTAAATATTGGTAGATTTAAAGAAAGCCCATCAATATCCATTTAACTTATCTTGCCAAGTTCCCCAAATGTCTTCTGTAAAATCTAATAGATGTTTTCTGAATTACATTTATAGTTTGGTTGTAATGCAGTTTGCTTATTTTCTAGAAAATGTTTCAGAAGCGCAGTAATGCATAACTTGTCCTGGTCTGATAACAAACAATTCAATTCAGTTTTATTTATACAGTGCCAAATCACAACAACAGTTGCCTCAAGGCCCTTTATATAGTAAGGTACACCCTAAAACAGGGGTGGGCAACTCCAGACCTCGAGTGCCGGTGTCCTGCAGGTTTTAGATGTGTCCTTGATCCAACACAGCTGATTCAAATTGCTAAATTACCTCCTCTGTCTTGAAGTTCTCGAGAGGCCTGGTAATAAACTAATCATTTGATTCAGGTGTGTTGACCCAGGGTGAGATCTAAAACCTGCAGGACCCCTGCCCTACAATAATTCATACAGAGAAAAACCCAACAATCATATGACCCTCTATTGCAGGGGTAGGCAACTCCAGGCCTCGAGTGCCGGTGTCCTGCAGGTTTTAGCTCCCACCCTGGGTTAACACACCTGAATCAAATGATTAGTTCATTACCAGACCTCTGGAGAACTTCAAGAAATGCTGAGGAGTCATTTAGCCCTTTAAATCAGCTGTGATGGATCATGGACACATCTAAAACCTCCAGGACACCGGCACTCGAGGCCTGGAGTTGCCTACCGCTGCTCTATTGAGCAAGCACTTTGGCGACAGTGGGAAGAAAAAAAACTCCCTTTTAACAGGAAGAACCATTTAGTGAAGGAAACACTAAATTCTTCTAAGAAAACATTTCAAGGTCATACAACACCAAGTGTTTATGAGCTCTTACCTTCGACTTGTGCCTTTTGGAGTTCTTTGGTCTTGGAAAATCCAACTGTGAACAGTAAAACATAGTTATTTATTTATTAGTTTTGTTTTTAATTCATCATAAAGATACCAGTTGCTCATGAAGATATGTAATTCAGCTTTAACACATCTGAAAGAGACAGTATTTCAGAGAATAAAAGTCTTACCTTCAATAACATTTAAAACAACAGTGCAAACAGCCCTTCCATATTCATTTGTTGCAAAACACTTGTAGGTGTCAGCATCTTCTGGAGAAACTTTAGGGAACTAATGAAGCACAGAGCTGATGTCATTTTTATTATGTTTGACTGCATATTAAGTGTTGTTATTTATTTCAGCTCACAATCACTTGTACCTTGAAAGTGCTATTGTGGAGCTTACCTCAATGGTGTGTTCGTGGGTTGCCTCATCATATTTTTGTAGGCACACAGAAGGATGGAAAAGTATTTCTCCATTTGCTCTACTCCATGTCACAGTAGGGGTTGGGGTTCCTACTATTATGGCTTTAAAGAATGCAAATTTACCTATAATAGAAAAAGTTGAGGATTGTTTAGTATTGAAAAAATAACTTAGTAAATGGAAATGTTCCAGTTACAAATGTTCCAGATCATGTTAATACATTAAATTAAGACATTCTAAAATGATTTCTGTTGCCACTGCCACTGAGTGTGCAGAAATGATAGGTTTGAGGCTTTTCCTAGTTTTCTTCATTTTTATGATATTTATTTCAACCCAATATTACAGGAGATGTTTGGCCATAATGCACAACACCATGTCTGGCAAAATCCAAACAAGGCATTTCAGCATAAACGCCTCATACAAACTGGCAAGCATGGTGGTGTAGGGATGATGATTTGGTCTTGTTTTGCAACCACAGGTCCTGGGCATCTTGTAGTTACTGACAGTGACATAGTGTAGTATGTCATGTGTTTTTGTTCAACTAAAAAAAACAAAACCCTCCCAGTACATAAAACTGCAGTGGTCAATAGCATTCAGTAACCCAGATAAGAACACGCAGTACCCCTTTTCTTCAAAACTGGATTAAGAGCTTCTCAAAAACCTGATCACAAACATGATCACATGCATCTAAAAAGTTTCACTGGAATTTATCTTTGTCATCTGTTTAATAAATACTTTTGTTAGTGACTTCAGCTTAATTACATCACCAGAACAATTAGGACTTCCCAGTATTTGTCAGTAATACTTGTGTAGGTTTAAGGTGTAGGTCAGTGTGCAGCACATTTTTTTTGTATTGTATTGTGAAGCATTTGAGACATGACATGAGACTTACCCTCTTGAATAGTTAGAGCAATCGGTTTGCGGGTGAAATCTGGAGTTGTCATTCCCTCTGGAAGTTCCTCCATAAACTGTGTTATCATGACACCAGGCACTTTTGACTTCTTCCTGATGCCTAACCAAATCAAGGCATATTAGGCAATTAGGCAACCCTAATATTTCAAAGCAGACCAGATATATACAAATTTGTGTGATCCAGACTGAGGATAATAGATCACTTAAAATGTTAAAAAAGCACCTCTATAAGTCTAAAAAACAGTCATATTTTGATCAAAAAAATAACCAGCACATTTAAAGAAATTAAAAACCCAGACCAGAAAAGAGGAAAGAGGTCAGGGTCAATTGCAAACACAGTCACATTCTGACGTATGAATCAAGTATGTGTGAAGAGAGTGCATATTCTGATGTTAAAATGCCACAATACACGCTCAAATTTCAACTGCTGCATGACAAAATGGCTAAGAAAAGCTGCATTTTATAAGATTATCTACCCTTTTTTCTTTACAAACTGCAGGTGCTTATTCTAAGGGAAGGAATAATACTTTAACAGTCAGCTTATTTGGGAATGAAATATGTCAGCTATCAGCTAGGATAGTTTCATATTGCTGAAGGTTTGTTGAACTTGCTCCCACAGTTTATCCAATTCCTAGTGCTGTTTAAGTAGGATAAAAGCCACTTACATAGAGAAAGGTGAACAATCATAAACCGTTAATTACAATGAATGTATAACTGAGATATTTAATTTGATTTTTTAAGTAACTTTGTGAAAGAAGACAGAGTTGCCTATAACAATTTAACAAACCTATGGGCATTTGAAGTAGTTGTAGTAGTAAGTGTGTAGTGTTTAGTGATATTAGCATGTGCCATATTTATGGGCTTGAGTCTCAGACAAATATTTGTGTGAGTCTCAAGCCCAGTAAGATCATAGTTGATGCTATTATAACAATAAAGTCAGTCTTTTAGCATAAAATCAGCACGTTGGTCATGTGGAATAGGTTATGCTTGTGATTAAGAGCTTTTTCTTCTCAGTCTATTTCAATTTAATGCATACATACTCTTAAAAAAACACATTTATAATTCACTAAAACACTTACAGCTTTAGTTGTATTCTCAGCACAGTTTATTCTAAATTTGTGAGTATGAGAAAAGATAAAACTGAACAAAAAGGTTGAGGTTAGCTCATGCATTCTGTATTTCTGTATTTTAAAATATGTGTCAACAGAATCAGACATGGATCTACATCCATGTGCTGTACTATCAGAGTATTCATATGAACTAACCCTCAGCAATATCGAAGACTTCATCACTGATTGCTGTTCACAAGGATAAAGCTGGCCCAGGGATCCCTGGTCTTTAATTATTTTCACCTTGCGTGAAAGACCTGCAATAGGCAGAATATTAGCTACAAAATATTTATATTTTTATTAAAGATTGTGAGAGCAGAATGCCCCACCCGGCATTTTGCAGTCTGAAGCACACTGTTAAATTAGTTAGTTAAATTAAATAAGTTAAATTGCTTGCAGCAGGAGTTACTGAATAGTATATATGGTTTGTATGCTGCATGGTGATGATAACGTTATACTGGTGTTGCTGCTGTTAGCAAGCTGGATGTTCACACTGTGGAATTTTTAGGATGATGCAACAATAAAAACAACATGTGTGCATGAAAATGTTGATCAGCTTTTCAAAATAAGACACTGATTAGAATGACATGAAAGCCAAGCATTGATATCATAGGTCAATTTGCAGATAACATTTAAAAATAATTAGCATAAATGTGGTACGAAAAGGTTTAATTCAGTTCTGTCATTCTGAAGTAGATTGAACAAGACGTATGTTCTTGATTAAAAACAGGGTCTTTCGTAAGTCGAAAATTTTCGTAAGTCGAAGCACCCATCGCACCTTTTGAGTGAAAGATAGGCTATAGGCTAATTGCTAACTGCAACGACGGAAGCGCAAGTACGAAAGCCAAGGGGGTTGTCACATGATTGGGAAGGCATTGTGGGCATTGTAGGCATTGTGGGCTCAGCCAATCAGAGCCAGCGGATTTTGTTACGCGGGCATTTTGCCGTAACACGGGCAGAAATATTGCCGTTAAGTTCCTTCGTAACTTGAATTTTTCGTTAAATGGGGTATTCGTAAGTCGGGGTTCCACTGTATATTATATCTGAGTTGTCTTACATCTACTTTTCTCAACATCACATCCCTGATATCTTGCTTTTTTTTTTACTTAAATTATTGCTGTCACTGAAAATTTGCACTACCGTCGCAGTGGAAGTGTCCCTGTTTTGTTTGAATTGTCTACCAAACACAGATGCGACAGAATAAATTTTCCTTTTGTGTGTTTTTTGCATCTTCATCACTTGCAATGAACCTCTTTTTGGAATTAATTAGTAATAATGATAATAACTGTACCATCTGTTGTTAGAGTCTTTGTCCCTCAGTGTTTGCTTAAAAGCTGGCAAACAAACTCATAAAAGAGATTCCACTTCATTTTGTTTTTTTAAACAAAATCTACTTTTAAAACTTAAGTAGTTATACCGTGCACCCTTACACCCTGCAAATGAATGCAGGAGAATAATGCATTTGTCTCGTTAATGTCGTTCTCCTTTTACCTTGTTTCTTTTTTTCTCTTTTTTTAAATGAATATTTTTCCCTTTTTGTGTCTTTGTGTCTCATAAGGCTCTTGTTATTTGAATGATGTTTCACACACTTGGCTTTCCTCAGCAAACAACTGTACAAAAGAATGAATGATATGAATGAATAATGAGTCTATTCAGGTAGACTGTCAAAACCTGCTCACTCTCCAGTTTGTTCTTATTTTTGTCAGATGTTTGTGTTCTCAACAGTACAGTTTCAACCTTTTCGTCAGATTAGACTGACAGAACTGAATAATGTATTTTCTTTTTCATTTGTAGATAAGTAGTGCTGAACTGTTTTTATTTGATACTGTCCTACTGTAGTTAAACTCTATAGTGCATTTTTTGTTTATGTTTATTTTTTTAAAACCTCAACTAATAAAAACCCTGGAAAATGCTCTCTAATCCTCCAAATTATTTGTTAATTTATTGTTAAATCCCCCTGTGTCTCACAGGAAAATGGCTTTGCATACGTTTTATCTTGTGAAAAAGCTCTGATGAAAAAACATTTTGGTTTATTTTTGTTTAATTTGCAGTGTAGAGACGTTTAAAGATGTTTAACTACACATTTAATCTCTTAGATATCTTAAAATAAGATCAAGAAGTGCAATTTCAATAGCACATCTCAGTGTTTCTTTTTACTGAAAACTATTTTGAAATGTAATTGTTTATTTATTACTTAACTACTTTGGTGTAGCATGACTGGCTGTGGGGGAGGTCTTTATCATCAGGAAAAGCTGTAAAACATATAAAAAATACAGTTAAAGGCCCACAGATGTTGGCCTGCTTCATATTTTCTAAAGCTGTCCAGCGGGCCGATTTGACAGGCCGATTCTCACACCTGTGATCTGAAGATTGAGTCATTAATGTCTGGTTTCACATGCAAAATAAGTACAAATAAATATGTGCAACTTTAAACGCAACTATGAGAAAGGATTTGTTGTGCTATTATTGGATTAATTAAGATGTCATACTAGAGGTTATAGGAAGATTGAGTGAGGATGATTGTAGTACAACTGTGTACACTTTGAAATTTGGATTTAATTTAGTGTAAAATTGGTGTTGTTACTAGGGTTGCATTTAAACTATATTACATGACATCACCACGACATCACTAAATACTGCAGCAGAATAAGTGACTCATTGTGCTTATCGATGTAAAACTTGTTAGCTGTTTTGGTACTGCAAAGTTTCTTAAGAGTCAGGGTCAGAGTTGGTCAGGTCTGCTGAGTAGAACAGGCCACTAAACGCCATTGCACTAGTCACAGTGTATAAATTGTGAGATTTGCGGTAGAATATGAGTTTTATTTTTATTTATTTATTTTATACCTTAGACTGAGTAATGAAATAATACATTAAAGGCCCAAAAGTCCCAGGCCACTTACATATTTACACCTATTGGAGCTACTTGGCTATAGGAAACCATGCCGTCAGTCTCCTGTTGCACAGTTTTTGTGCTGAAGTTAACAGCAGAGGAGGTTTGTAAATCTGCATCTTTACATGGTCTATAGCAGAGCTGAAGAAATTTCATGAACTCTTTTGTTACAGTGTTGTGCCATACAGTATTACAGTAGGTCTTTCTCTTCCACTCATTGTAAAGGTGGACTGCAGGTGCGTGATTTTATATTCCTCTAGCAATGGGATTAAAACTCTTAAATAGATTAAGATAGATTAAAGGTTGTTACCCAGTGCTTTTGTCTGTCGTGTATAAGACATTAAATGATACTGAGAACTGTCATTTTAGCTGGTTACCTTGACATTTCACAGTTGAGCAGGAATACAAAGGTCAAAATATTTAAGAGGGTACAGAATGGTCCAAATTAAAGGAAAGTACTCAGATATAATTTACTGGTAATCTTTCTACTTATACCAAATGCACGCCATTTGCAGTTTAAAAGTAATTACAATGTAATTATATTAAAGCTTGATGAAATTTGCACTTTTTAAGGGTCCTTAGAAAGTGCAAAAATCTATCTAATGTGACAGGTGCCAAGTTGCATTAGATAGATTTTAGGAGACATTATGCCATTCCTGTAGAGCAAGTTCACTTATTTAGACTGAACTGTGCCAGCATATTGTACAAGGTTACTTTGCATTTGAATACATCTTTAAAAGTGGCATTTTTTTTCTCTTGAAATTACAAGCTACAGTCAACAGATGGCAATCGACCGCAGTGCCCTCTAGCAACAGCCTGCAGACACTATTCATATGAGGGGTTTGAAAATGTCACAATGAAATGCATCTGTTGTGACACTGAAAGTCATATCATCCATTCTGGATGACACCTTTCAATGAATGATGAAGATCATATCATACATGCAACTCACCCATCATGGAATCATGCATTTACAAAGATGAATCGTTCAGGTAATTCGATTTTTTTTGTTTTGTTTTTTGTCTTTCGCTCGCATACCTTTGTCGTCTGGGTGAACTCCCTCAGAACCTTTTTTTCAGAACCGCCGACTTAACACGTAATGTGAAAGTGGGAGAGGGAACAGGACAGGTAAATATTAATCCTGACAAAAGCACCATGTTGGGTTGGAACTTCGACAGGATTATAACATATAATAGACATAAAACACCACAATATACAGTATATTCCCAGGAATCAAAAGCACAAACAGACAGACTTGAGCAGACCCAAATATTTAGAGACACATTGCACATCAAATCATTAGTCACAGACAAAAAATAAGACAGAGGTTAGCAATGTGTTGTTACAGCAAGCATGTAAATGCTGTACTGTACAACTGATGATTAGACATAGCTTCACACTTTCTTACGCATTTTCTCATGGTAGACATCTCAGGATGTTTCCTGTGCAGTGCTTGAGAGAAATTATGTATAAATAGAAAAGCAATTTGTTGAAAGATGATTTCAAATAAGCCTTCATTTTGTCTTCTATCAAACAGAGACACAATTTCATTTTCAGCTCCCTCTTTATTTGTGGCAGCTTCAAGTGTGTGTTGAATTAATCTTCGATGATCTTGCTTTGATCTTCCATGTCCCCAACGGTTGCATTGCCAGCATTGCTTCTCAGATGAATCCTGAGTATTCTTTGCCTTTGGTCATGAAGAAATCTTTTTTAAACATGATGAGAGCTTGTTTGCATCTTCTCTTGTGTTGTCAGTGATGCCGCTGATCATTTCTTTGATCGACATCTTCATTCGAGTGGAGAAGCTAGTGACTGAAAAATGACTTCTCTTCTTAGACAGAAAAAAAGAAGAAAAATAGCATCTGTTTCCTCATTGCCACACAAAATCTCGATATCTTGCAGGGATCTTGTATCGACTGCTTCCACTGAAGAAAATAGGCAGCTGTATTGTTTATCTTCTTTTTAAGTTGTTGGTGATGGCCTTCATATTACACATTTTATTGTAATTTTATTCTTTAAGTACCATTTGGCATGTCATTTTTACCTGTTGCTTTCTTGTCTTAATTATTCTTGAATGCAGTGTCACACAGCTCTTTAGTTTTAATAAAGTTTAGTTGTTTGCTGTCTGTGAGGAGGATCCTGTTCTTGTGTGTCACTGCAATAATAGAACGTACAGGGTGACAAGGTTGCAATACTAACCGTTGACTGGCTTCTTTACTTACCCGCCTGCCCAGTGGCAGTCTGATCGGTCACCTTTGACTTCTTCGACATCTTGGTTTTCTCTTGAGCTCTGCTGATTCAGAAGGCTCTGCACTAAAAGACAGAATAGGAAATCCAAAATGTACTGTACAAGTGTGGCTCAAATCAAATCCCTGATATAAGACATTTGTGTCAGAGTTTGAGGTGTTAGTCTTTTAATTTTGGGATTGTTTTCTTTTTGAAAATTTAAGCAGACGCCATTTAAAAGTTTTAATAGAGTAATGTAGTGCTTTTGAAGCAGACTGCTCTAATTACTTTTCCAGTGGCACAAAGTGATCATCAGCACCCGTTCAGCCAACGTCATTTGCAGTGAATGTCAGACTTAACATGGGATTATTCTGTGTCTCAGGATTCCTTTGCATACATTTGCTAACTAACCGAGGTGCTCAATGAAACCTCATATAAACATGGAGAAGATTTGGAATTAGATCGATAATGCTGCACACTGTACAGCAATAATTATATGATCACCCAGTTAATGACAATAACTTACATGCCAGTTTGAAATTTATAATTTTACAGACATTATACTGCAAACATTTTTAAACATTTTACTGTTCTTAGAAGAGTTCTGGGATCTTCTGTACAATTCTGGACGAAGTCGGTGACAAGGATCAAATGAAATTCAAAGGAAATTATTTATATTTAATTGCTTAGGATATATGCTTATGACTGTGTCATGCCGCAAAATGATTTGAGGATAATTAATTTGGTGTGTGTGTGTGTGTGTGAAAATATACATCAAAGTTTT